CAGGCTTTCTCATGTAGGGCGATTCGACTCGTCCAACTTAGTCACGTAAATCTGTGAGGTACTCCTCTTTTTCCTTTATGAATCGCATGTAGCACTCTGCACGGCTGTCCGCTCATTTTGTTCCGAGTTGCAGGTACACTGGCGTTCTGGATGTTTTCCGGGCCTCTATCCATCAACATTCGAACAATGGCTGTGTTTGCCAGCTAACTTTTTAATGTTTTCTCTACAGATGTTTGTAGGGACGAGTGTGTCCTTATTTTCTTGGAAGAACTTTCATCGTCGTGCTGGCTCTGCGCAAGGCCAGCTCGCGGTAAGTAGCTTGTTCCTCTCTACTATTCCTTGCCGATACATTGTTTGTTGGATTGTCACAGAGCGACGCTTTGTCAACCCGTCAATCACGCACAAGATAGCCTATCAAGGGCAGGGCCACCACAGAGCCAGTTTATTCCACTCCCGGACTTTATGAAGCGCGCTTTTCTTCCTCTTGCTAATCACGCTCGGAGAATATATCCCATCGTCGAATCTCGCTATCCAGAAGCCGCCAGGTCTGTCCGAGCATTCAATTCTTTTAGGCGCATTTCTTTGTCTTTTTTTCTCTTCTTTTCGTCTGGGCTGGTTCTTCGCAGTGGTGCAGTCCAGTGTAGTGTTTGGTCTCTTTTCCCCTGCTTCTTTTTATGGATTGGACCGGACTGGCGGGCCTGTCTCTGTGTGTGTGTATGCATTGTGTGAGTGAGTGTGTAGTATGTGTGTTCCAAGCTGGAAAGCAGTGTCCCGCTCGCCCTTTTCGTTGTTGGGAACTTCTTCCAATAATGACGGATTGGATCAAGCCGAGGGCCTCTCGCTCGCGCTTAAGCGAAGGAGTTTGGCAGCTTTTGAGTTGAGTTTTCTCGTCTTTGTCCTTAGTTTGGAACTAAGCTTCTTCTTCTCTTCTCTAAGCTCTCGGTTGATAGATAGCTTAGTCGCGGAGTCAGCGGCCATGGTTTCTGTGCGTCCTTGTTATAGTTTAGCGTGTTAATCTTAGCTTACGTCCTGGCATGAGCCAGAGACAAAGGAAAGCTCGTCAAAAAAATTGAAAAGAAGGGGTTCTTTGTCCGTGACAATCGCTGGCTGCCTGGATGGATGTTGACATCCACAATACTAAAAAAGAGCAGAGGATAGAGGCTTGTCCAAACAGCTTTAGTTAAAATATATCTTCTGGTGATTGGATGACCACTGTTTAGAGCAAACATCTATACATTTTCATACTTTAGATGGCTAGTTGATCACATAGAATAAAAAAGATGGATAAAGAGATGGTAAAAAAAGATAAAACTCCTAGCACTTTGCAGACTTACACTACCTTGGGAGCGAGAATTTTACTCCACCTCGGGGAGAGCCCGAAGAGCCAACCATGATTCTCCCTCTTCCACTGTCAGCCTTAGCTCTCGTGCTTGGGACCTGTGATCTTCTTTTTCCTGCGTTTTCCCTGAGGTTTTGATTGATCGTCTCATCCATCTCGATTTCCCTGCTCGTGATCTCGATCCCAGCGATGGCCTCCCAGAAGTCCTCTAGAAAAAGAAGTAAAGAAAGAAGAGCGAGCGAACCTGTGACCATCATCGCCCATCGGCGGCAGTGAAAGCCTCGGCGAATCCCGCCGGCCTCGTCGGCAAGCTGTCGTGGCTGTCGTAGTCGTCCAGCATCCTCCGGCTCGCAGCGCCGCTGCTGCTGTCCTCCTCGTACGCCTGCCACTTTTTGAGCGCCTGCGGCAGCGTCAAGCTCAGGTCGATGCCCGCGCTCTCCTCCCCGTCCTGGTCCGCCGGCTTCCACTGATCCACCAGCGGCGACAGCACGCTCACTGCGTGGCCCATGTCGGGGCGCTGATACGGCTCCCGTGCCGTGCAGTGACGCGCCAGCTCCGAGACCGTGTACACGCTGTGGAAGACGTCGCCCACCCCGAGCACCGGGTCGATGATCCGCAGCAGCGACTCCTTGCTGCTGGAGCTCGTTATCCGCCGGTACCAGGTCACCAGATGCATGTTTTCCTCCGGCTGGGACTCGTCCAGCGCGCGCCGCCCGCTTATCAGCTCCAGGAGCACCACTCCGAAGCTGAAAACATCGGCTTTGGTTGTCACCCTCCCGGTCACTGCAAACAACTTGTCATCAGAAGCAAGAAATCCAAACAAAAGCCTGCCTTTTACCTGCGTACTCCGGGGCCAGGTAGCCAAACGTCCCCGCCAGCCTCGTCTCCACCGAGTATTTCCCCTCGGGTGCCAGCTTCACCAGGCCAAAGTCCGCCACCTTTGCGCGGAGATCATCGTCCAGCAGGATGTTCGACGGCTTAAGGTCCCGGTGGATGAAACTCTTGTATGCCAGGCCGTGGAGGTACTCCATCCCACGGGCAACGTCCAGAGCAATCGCCAGCCGCCGCTTCCACTCCAGAGGCTTGAGTCTCATCCGCCGGTACTCGAAGAGATGGTGGCTCAGTGCGCCCTGCGGGAGATACTCGTACACGAGAAGCTTCTCGTTGCCGTCGATGCAGTACCCGAGAAGAGCCACCAGGTGACGGTGCCTGACCTTGCTTAGAACAGCTATCTCGGCATGGAACTCGCTGACGCCCTTGCTGCTTACCACGGACGAAGCCTCCATTCGCTTCACAGCTATGTTGGTGCCGTCGTCCAATTGCCCCCTGTACACCGCTCCGAATCCTCCCCGGCCGAGAACAGTTTCCTCGCTAAAGTTTCGCGTAGCGTTTCGCAGGACGTGGATCGAGATCACCAGGTTCCCAGCCTCCACAACTTGGACGTCGGTCCCGTTGGAGTTGACGGACGCCGTCTCCACAAGGCTGCGTGAGTTCACGTTGTTGCCGGCACCGCCAGGAACGATGATCTTCACAATGTCCTCGGAGCTTGAGTCCCTCGGATGCACCACCATTGTCGGGCCCTGGACTCTCACAAACCGCTTCTCGGACCTCTTGTAGAACAGGAAGGAAAGCGCGAGCCCAATGGCGAGCAGAGAGACCGCTCCCACCACTGGCCCCGCAATCAGTCCAGCTTTCACGGAATTGTGCTGGCTCCTCGGCAAAACCTCCGCCGCCGTCGCATTGTTCGCCACCGTGGTGTTCGTGTTCTTAGCACCACCACCCCCGCCAGAAGAACCAGACGGCTGCGCAGGAGTAACTGGAGGAGAAGTCACGGGTGGCAAGCTCTGGAGCAGCAAAGGATTCCCCTGGAAATTCGTCTTCACGGACTCGGGGAACTGTGGAAGATCGCCAGACAAGTTATTGTTGTGTAAGTCGACTTGCTGGAGCGATTTCATGCTGGTGAGCACCGGAGGAATGCCGCCACTGATGTTGTTCCCGTTGAGCCTCAGCACCGTGAGCGCCGTGAGATTCACCAGCGCCGGAGAGAGCCGACCCACGAGCTGGCTCCCCGCGAGATCGATCACCGACACCCGCTTCCCCGAGTCACAGACGATCCCCGTCCAGAGGCAGGGATCGTCGCCCTTCCACGACGAGACGATCGATGCCGGGTAGCCAAACTCCCCGATAAACTCGAGCAGCGTCTCCACGTCGTGAGAGCATCGCAGCCCCGGGACCGCCTGGCAGAAGTTATTCCCAGTAGCGAGGACCTTGGTCGTGGGCTTGAAGGCCGGAAGAACACCGATGAGCTCGTTGTTGTCCACTGAAAGGATCGCGAGTGGAAGCTCTGCCAAGCTCGCTGGAATGGGTCCTGTGAGGCGATTGTCGTTGAGCTTGAGATCCTGGAGCGCGAGCGCGTTGCCCAGCCCCCGTGGGATGGTTCCAGCGATCTCGTTCACCTGGAGCCATAGCTGGACGAGCGATCCCATGCCGCCCACAGCGTCGATCGGGCCTGTGAGAACCGGGCCTTGCATGTTGTTGGCCTGGAGCTGGACGAGATTGGAACTTACAAACGAGGGAGGGATCCCACCGGTGAGGCGATTGTAGGCGAGATTCAAGACCTTGAGCTGCGGCATCGCTCCCAGGAACGCTGGGATGCTCCCCACGACGCTGGAGTTCGTGAGGGAGAGGTTCGCGAGAGCTCCCAGGTGCGAAATATCCACCGGGAGCTCCCATCCGGCCGTGCCGTTGAGAGGATTGTTGTCGAGGTAGATCGCCGCGAGGGATTCGAGGCCTGCGAAGAAATCCCCCGGGATGGAGGAGAAATCGTTGTTGTCGAAGTAGGCGATCTTGAGGTTGGCCATCCCGGCAAGCGAGGGCATGGATCCAGATAGAGCGTTCCCTTGCATCCCGAGGTACTCGAGATTGGAGAGCCGGTTGAGCGATGGCGAGACGATCCCCTGGAGCCCCAGAAACGCCACATCGATCCCTGTCACGGATTTCCCCCGGCACTGGACGTGCTTCCACGCCGCGCCGCACGGATCGGTGCCGCTCCACTGGAGAATCTCCCCGTTGCTCAAGCCCTTCTGGAACGATTGCAGCGCCTCGGCGTCGACTGGATCCGTCTCGGCCGCGGCCGAGACGAGCAAGACCCCGAGAAGAAGAAAATATTTCCACGAATGCTGCTCCATTGCGGCCAGAAATCACAACGAATTCGCTCGAGCACAGAGATTATCACTCGCGATTCAGCTTCTCAGCTTCTCCCCGGCGAAATCCATCGCCAGGGAGCGTCATGGATCCCACATTGCGACTCGAGCACCCCGGCGGCATGCCGCGCAAGAACCCTAATATTCCATCGCCGAGGAGATATACGCGATGCCGTTGGATCCAGGATCAAGATCTAACGGTCCAAACCGCGCCACGACGATACGCGAAATCTGGGAATAGCGATCGAGCGATGGCGGGCGTTGGAGCAGCTTCGATTCGTCAGTATCTCGTTCACGAGTTTTCTATGAGACGAATACTTTGTTTCCTCAAGGTGTTGATTTGACGATCTTTCAAATGAGATCATCAAATTTTTCCTATGCTTTTCTGGAGCGATTTCTACCCTCTACTTTCCAAAGCAAAAGCCCATTCCGGAATCAATGCCAAATTCCATGCAGTGTGATAAGAACAAACAGCACATACACTTCAAGGCTGTCATCAATTGCTCAAGTTGACAGAATTGAAACATCGTCAAGTAAGGTTTTATATGATCAAAGAGCGAGATTCTCTTAGATGTAATCCTTTCGAAGTACTTTCGTTTGTTTTTCTCTCAGATTCTCTTATAAGTTATCAGCTGGCACACACAACCCCGAAAAGGTGGCGGTCGATTTGATAGAGGAATAACTTGATTTTATAGTTCCAGAGTGAGCTTGAAGCACGCAACTTGAATGGAGCCCATGGTTTGATCTGTAACTCTTAGTTTTCCTTCTTTTTTTCTTCATTCCACCAGCACTCGTTTGGAGGAGAATAAGATTTAGCTCAGAAGCTTGTGGATGTCTCCAGAGAGATCATTCTGGAATAAAACCATTAGACAAAACGTTTGAAGCTCACTTTTTCTTGAAGAACGAAGTTATGCTGCCTTGTTGAGGACCGCAAGCGGCTTTTTTGCCCGGCTTGGACGAAGGTTTTGTGGAAGCTTTGCTGGTGGAGGCCTTGGAAGCAGGATGCTTGCTTGCTGGAGGTGGCGGTGGTGGAGCAGCAGTTTTGTTGGGAGCTTTCACCTTTTCTATCTCTTCTATCTTCGAGCTTTCGGGTTCTTCCGTATCCCAGACAACCTCGGTCACTGCAAATCCATCGATCAGCTTTGCGATAATAAAACGGAGAAAAGATGGAAGCCCATACCTTCGCGTCCTCGCTCATCAATGCGTGTTCTGAGGACTTTTCTCTTCTTTTTGGGGTCCATGCGTTTATCGTCACCGCTCCTCGAATTTGAATTCGATGCTTTATCTTCGTGCTTCGTCTCTTCGATTTTCTTCTCTGGAGAGATGAGGCTGATGACTTCTTCTTCTTCTTCCTCTTCCTTTTCTTCCGAAGCTGCTTCTTCTTCCTTGTGCTCGGACACTTCGTCGTCGAGAACAACCCTTCGCTTCTGTCCACCCCGCCTGAGGCGGCGAAAGTTTGAAATATCGTCGTCACTGCTACCACCGTTTTCATGCTCTTCCAGTGCATTTATGCAAGCATCGGCATTTCCTATAAGAAAGTTAATCAGATAACCATGGCAGAAAGAACAAACTCACACACTCACCGGGTAATTGCTTTTGAGGAGAACCATTCTTTGGTGGACTTGCCTTTGAATTGTTTGATGGACGCCCCCATAAGTTGGCTATCGAGCTTCCTTGCGCTGTAGCACTTCCTTCCTTGCGCTTGTTTGCATCGCGCCTTCCTTCACCATTTTCTTGTTTTACCGTCCCTGCACTGACATTACCTTTGTCACCCCTTGTAGAGTTCGCCTGCTTTGAACTTCCTGACGGATTACTTGTTTCACCATTTGAAGCTTTCGCCGCAATGCTCGTTTCATTCTTCATAAGAGCTGGTTTAGGCGGCAAGCCTTGCGGTAATGATGCTTTTTCAGAGGCTGGAGCAGAACTGGAAACTGTTCCTTTGTGATCCCGTTTCACGAGAGAACATGATACTCCGCTAAACCTGACATAAAAGATGGTATCATCGGCCACTGCGAGCTTTTTCATACGTACCGGTTATCACGAAGGCAATTAACAGCATCGAGAGGCTGGTTAAAAAACTCCTCGGCTTGGACGTTGTCTGGACTCCACACCAGCGCTGGATCTCTAGGGACAGAAGCTTGGATGCTGTAGATGTGAACGGAGGACCCTTCCGCGAGAAGAGCTTTGGCTCCTATCAAGAAAAAAAAAATCGAAAGTCAGTTCCAGAGCAGAGAAGAACTGTCAAAAGGATTAAGATCGGCAGACCTTCAAGCTGCGATAGCTTGACTACTTTAACGGAATAACTCCGAGGTTGGCTTTGAGTCCATCCCGAAACAGAGTACAAGACTTCCAAGCCGTCCCCGTATTTTTCTACAAACTTGTAGAGCAGCCTGCAAAAGCTTTGAAGATAAAAAAAAAAAAGAAGAAGAACCAAATAGGAGAGGACGAGCATACCGTTTTGCCACATTGGATGAAATAAAAAACTTCCTGCTCAGCCACTTATAGGAGACCTAGAAACACACGAAGAAGTGAAAAGAGAGAGAAAATGTCATCTCACCATGAGCGACAGATCCGAAACGAGCGCTCGCAGCTGCTCGATAATCCCCGCCTCGGAGGACGAATCCGCCATGCCTGGATCAAAGCACGCGCCGATTGCTCATCCATGGAGAGCGCGATTCATCCCTTACCTCCCGGCGCCAAAACAAAAGCCCTAGACCTAGAACAAAACAAAATGGCGGGAAACAAGTTCCTTTACTTGCTCTCTCTCTCTCTCTCTCTCCCCCCAAGATCAAACTGCCAATTCCACAGCTCTTTTGGAGCACCCAATGTGACACCCAGTGAAGCACGCATCGCAAAAATGGCGGCCATTCCCTATCTTTGCTTTGATCCTCTCCAGCGACAAGAACTCGAGCGAGTCGGCTCCAATGTAATCGCAAGCCTCGGCTTGCGACATCTTAAACAGCAGCAGCTCCTCCTTGGTGGGAGTGTCAACTCCGTAGTAGCAGCTGTCGATCACCGGAGGACTCGGGATCCTCAAGTGAACTTCTCTCGCTCCAGCCGACCGCAAGATCTCGACGATGATCCTGGAAGTTGTCCCGCGAACGATGGAGTCGTCCACCACGACCACCTTCTTGCCTTCCAGGATCTCCGGAACCGGAGCCAGCTTCATCAAAACCTTGCGCTTCCGGTGGACTTCTCGCGGCTGGATGAACGAGTCGTGCGACCGGATGAGCGCCTGCTGGATTGAAATCCCGAGCTTGCTCGCGTAGCCAAGCAGCGACACCATCCCGGAATCTGGCACCGCCATGGCGAAGTCACAGTCCACTGGGAAATCCTCGGCTAGAAGCTCGCCAAGCCTGTATCTGGTGAGGTAGACCGAGTGTCCAAAGACGAAGGACTCCGGCCGGGACAAGTAGAAGAGCTCGAACAAGCATAGCTTCAGAGACTCGGCCTTCTCGAGCTCGTGGAAACGTTCTACGTTCACGCTGCCGCGGCCATTTTCCGACTTGGTCGCCACCAAAACTTCCCCCGGCTCGACTTCCCTCTCGTACCTGGCATGGATAAGATTGAAGGCGCAAGTCTCCGACGCGAAAACCACCGTGCCATCCTCGCGGAATCCCATCACCAGCGACCGAAAGCCGCGAGGATCCCTCACCGCCACCACCATCTCCGAAGTCATGAAGATCAAGCTGAAAGCTCCGATCCAGCTGCTCGCAAACCAAGCAGATCTTTCCCAGCAGCGGCGCCTCCTCGCAAGTTTTCACCAGGTGGAGGATCACTTCCGAGGAGCTGTGGAACTCACAGCCTTTGGCTTCTAGCTTGGATCTCAGCTCCTCATAGTTGACGATGTTTCCATTGTGAGCTAGCCCCAATCCTTTCACCTCGTGAAAGAATCCCTGCTCGTCTCAAGTCACAATCCCCGCGCCCTCCAATCCCCGGTGCTGGAGCCTGCTCAATGCCTGGTAGGAGAGATCGGCAATGGAGGCGCTGCCCTCGCCCTCTCCCCACGCCTGGAGCATCCCAAGAACGCCGCATTCCTCTCGCAGCTTGTCATCCTCAAGAGCGACCGTGGCAGCGATCCTCACGGCAGCAAGGGATTTGGTGTGCTGAGGCCGCGGCCACGGCCGCCATTGCGATCTTGGACGATGACCTGTCTCATAAACCCTAGGGAAGCCCTAAGGAGTTCGCGGGTAAATTCAAAGTTAAAACTATTCCATAAACCCTAGAAAAGCCCTAAGGAGTAAATAATTCAAAGTTAAAAGTATGCTCCTCGAATCTAGAGTAAGACAATTTGGAGGAAGAGATTATGTTCTAACGTGATTTTTCTAGGCTACTCCAAGGAGCATCACTAACTTGGAAGTTGCAAATCCAAAATTTTCACGGAGCATCACAAACTTAAAAGTTGCAAATCCAGAATTTTCGCGGAGTACCACAAACTTGGAAGCTGCAAATCCAAAGCGAGCTAGAACACACATCAAGCTAAAGACTGCTTTGGAGATTGTCGCGTCTCTCAGAAAATGCCGGGACTTGGCAAATGGGAAGTTTATCCACCAAGAGGCATTTGCTGCGGGATTTCACACCAACAAGTACATAGCCGCGGCACTCATCAAAATGTACGGAATTTTCTCGAGTATGATCCTGGCGCAAGAAGTTTTTGATGGGATGATCCACCGGGATGTTGTTGCATGGACGTCGCTCATCCTGGGATACGTCGAGAATGGAGAGAGCTCGAGAGCTTTGAATCTCTTCAATGAGATGGATTGCGAGCCAGATTCTTTCACTTTCGTGGCTGTGCTCAAGGCCTTGGGTTGCTTGGCTCAAGAATCCAAAGACAAGACGTTTTTCCTAGAGAGGGGAATCGAGATCCATAAGAAAGTAAAAGCTAAAAGGCTGGAATCTAATGTAGTTGTGGCAAATACTTTAGTGGACATGTATGGCAAGTGTGGAAACATGAAACTTGCTCAAGATGTTTTTGATAAGATTAGCCGACGAGATCATATTTCCTGGAACTCGCTCATTCTTGGATATGCCGCGAACGGGCAAAGCTTGCATTCTTTGGAACTCTTTGCGAGCATGGACTGTGATCCCAGCTCTGTGAGCTTTGTTGGAGCGCTCACGGCATGCAAGAGTTTGGCTTGTGAGAGTGAGTACCAAAAGGAAGTTTGTCTCGGGAGGGGGATTTTGATCCACAAACAAGCAAGCAAACTTGGATTTGGGGGTGATATAGTTGTGGCTAGCGCTTTGATAGACATGTATAGCAAGTGTGGAGCCATGTTTCTTGCTAGGAAAGTTTTTGATACAATGAAGCATAGAAATGTTGTGACTTGGAACTCTCTCATCTGGGGATATGTTGAGAATGGGGAGAGTTTTGTAGCATTAAATCTATACGTTAACTACATGGATTGTGAGCCCAGCTATGTCACCTTTGTGGCTGTGCTTAAGGCATGCGGGCTTTTGGCCAAAGATTCAAAATCAAAGAAGTTTTACCTTGAAAAGGGACTTGCAATTCATAAAACAATCAGAGCCCGGGGCTTAGAATCCAATGTGGTTGTGGCAAACATGTTGATAGACATGTATTGCAAGTGTGGCAGCTTAGAAAACGCGAAAAACGTTTTTGATAAAACGATCGATCGAGACGTGGTTGCATGCAATTCTCTGATCCTGGGATATGCCGAGAATGCTGAAAGCGCAAGAGCCATTGAGCTTTTCTTTGATCTTGGTTGTGACCCAAGCTCTGTGACATATATCAGTGCACTCAAAGCATGCGGGAATCTGGCAAGTGAGAAAAAATCACAGAAGCAGTTTTGCCTTGAAAAGGGTATTTTGATCCACAGAAAAGTCCAAGCAAGTGGTTTGGAATCTGATAAATCCATCTCCACCACCTTGGTAGACATGTATAGCAAATGTGGGAGCATGGCAAATGCCAGAGAAATATTTGATAAGATGCCCCATCCAGATGTTGTAACATGGACTTCCTTGATACTTGCTTACACAGAGAATGGGGAAAGCTTGCTAGCTTTGGATGTATTTGCTAGAATGGACTGTGAACCAGACACATTCACCTATGTTACTGCACTCAAGGGCTGTGAATCCTTAGCCACACTATCAGCTGGGCAACAAATCCACATCAGAATTTGCAGAGCTGGTTTAGAGCAAGATCAAGTGGTTGCAACTGCACTTGTGGATTTCTACATGAAATGTGGTAGCATGAGAAGGGCTGAGGAGATCTTCAACAGCATGAGCTCCCCAGACATAATATCATGGAACACCTTGATAGCAGGGTACAGCTCAAATGGAAATTACTCACAGGTGTTTGCTCTTGCAGAGCAGATTAGAGATGGTGGTGTTCAGATGAATGGCATCACACTCACCTGCATTTTGATGGCTTGTAGTCATATGGGCCTGGTGAGGGAAGGGAACCTGTACTTTGAATTCATGGCCCAAGAGTGTGGGATTGAGAGCTTGGATGGGAGTCACTACAATTGTATGGTTGATTTGCTGGGCAGATCCAACATGCTAGAGGAAGCACTGGCTCTTGTCCAGAGCATTCCAGGAACTGGAGCTGATGCTGTGATCTGGAGGACTTTGCTGGGTTCTTGCAAAAAATGGAGAAACCTCAGAATTGCAAGGATTGCATTTGATGCACTAGTGGCTGCTGGTGGCAAAGACTCAGCTGATTACATACTCATGAGTGATATTTATGCAAGCTTGACTATGTGAATGACTATGGGAGTTGGATTTAATTTTGATTATACTTGGTATTTAGGGTTTTAGGGCTGGAAGCGGGCGGTGATGATGCGCTGGGGAGCTGCGAGGCGGAATTCCTCGCGCTTGTGGTCGCAATCCAGGCGCTACATTGCCGGCCATGGATCGAAGCAGCGGCAGGATCCTTGCTCCTCGTCTGTGGCTGAATTGGAATGCGTGGTATCGCCCGACGATGGAAGGGATGCTCACGAGCTCCTGAGAAAGAATCCGGTGGGATTGTATGGATATGAAGCTTTGAAAACTGCCAAGGGATTTCGTGCATTTGCTGAAACAGCGATTGCGAAGTGAGTTTTCAGCGATTGTTTCTGGGGTTTTTGCTAAAATGGAGGTTTTTTTTTCTTTTGTAACAGGTCTGAGGATCTCATTGCGCGTGTCAAAGAGCTTCCGCCGTCCATGGAGACCATCAAGTGTATGGATGACATCTCCAACACTGTAAGTTCCTGGCATTGCTTTCTGGTTTAGTTTTTCAAAAGTTCCTTCTGCTTTTTTTGTTTTGGATCAGGTGTGCATGGTTGTTGATGCTGCGGAGCTCTGTAGAAACACTCATCCTGACAAGTAAGGTGCTGCGCCCTTGAAATGGTTTCAATCTCGTGCTCATCTTCCTCGTTTCCACGAGCAGGGAGTATGTGGACGAAGCGAATGCCGCATCGTTGAAATTGTACAAATATTTGCATGTAAGTTGCTTCTCAAAGACGGACCAGAGTTACTCATAGATGTTTTGCAGTACCTTAACACTCACAAATCTCTCTATGACGCCGTCGTTCATGTTGAGAGCTCGGATGCTTTGACTACGGAAGAAGCCAAGAGAGCTGCAAAAACCTTAAGAATTGATTTTGAAAGGGGTGGAATCCATCTACCTCCTGGTAAGCTCAAGAACTTGTTTTAAACAGACATTAGGCTCATAAATTTCAGAAAAGATGGAGCGTGTGAATGAGTTGAACCTTGAGATTACGCGACTAGGAAGAGAGTAAGCTTGCATTTTCTTGTAAACTGGCACTTGACGTGTAACGAACAGGTTTACAGAAAATATGCAGCTATCTCAGGGCCATGTCGATGTTTTCCCAGCATCAAAAGTACCGGAAAGTTTGCACCACTTAATGCAACCGATACGCAGCCATTCGAAAAGCTGGAAAAGTAAGAGCGAAGACACTGGGCTACGCATAAGCACCGATGCTGGAGTTGTTTCGAGTGTGCTCAAGTGGGTACCAGATGCTGAGGTGAGCTCTCTTTGAAAATAGTGCATCACTGATCAAGGCATGCTACTTACAGATCAGGAAAGAAGTCTATATTTGCAGTCACAGTACTGCGAAGAACAACCTTTTGGTCCTGGATAAGCTAATTGAATCCAGGCATGAACTTGCACAGGTATGCTCATCAGCTTCTTACTCCAGCTGATGTCTCTTTTTCCAGCTTATAGGATTCAATTCATATGCTGAATTTGCAACTGCTCCAACTATGGCAGGATCTTCCGAAGTTGTCCAATCTTTCCTGCACGATCTTTTATCGCAAACGCAATCTAAAGCAAACGAGGTTCCGTTCTTGGCAAATGCTTCAGCACTTTGGCTAAATCTTGGAGGCTGTGCAGGAGTTGAAAATGCTCGAGAGTTTTGCACGTAGCAGCTCAATCGAGCCTTGGGATGAAGCATATTACACTGGTATGTACAAAGCTCGTGCTCAAAATTTAGACTCCAAGGTAAAATTAAAGCTCATGCTTAAGAATGCGTCTGAGCTATTTTGTTCCAGGTAATCTCCTCGTATTTTCCACTTGAGCGATGCATGAATGGTCTTAAAGTGATTGTAAAATCCCTGTTCGATGCGTCTTTTGAACAAGTTCCCGTGGCACCTGGAGAAGTATGGCATTCTGACGTTCAAAAGTGGGAACTTCGGCATAGCACCGAGGTAAAAACCTTCCGTTTGCTTCATGGCACCTTGATCAAAACAATTTTCTTCAGGGTTGTTTAGGCCATATGTTTCTGGAC